AAGATCTTGCCCTTCCAAAACCCTAGCCGCCAGTTAGAGCCCACTCAACCTTAGGATTACTAATTTCAGCCAAATATCTCCATATTTCAACCATTGGTTTAACAAAACTACTTAAAGCATATAATATCCAACAAATACCTAAAAAACCCTCCCAATTTGAATTTCCCTCCTAGCTGGCCCTCCTTTTGCATTAATCCATAGGCCCCACCCTAAGGAGGGCAAAAGAGTGTTGATGATGACCAAGCTTTCGCCTTGAATACACCCTAGTCGGTCCAGGGTGGACCGGCCAAAATATGCCCAGCCCAGGAGGGACCGGTCTAACAATACCCCCTCCCAAAGACCCACCTTGCCCTCAAGGTGGAAAGATGGCAACTTCTGTTTCACCCTCTCGTGCGGCTCCTACGTGGCATCATAGTCGGTTAGGTTCTTCCATTTTATTAGCTTTTCCTTGATCCCTCACTCTCCATTGCGTAGCCCTTCCAACTCCAATGGTTCCAACACAATCTTCAAATCTTTAGTTAGTGTCATGGGTAACTCTAAACTTGATACATGATCACCAAGAGCTCTCCTCAATTGGGACACACGGAACATCGAATATATAGTAGCTATCAGGGGTAACTTCAATCGATAAGCCACTACTCCAATCCTCTCCATTATCTTATAGGGGCCAAAGTATCTCGTGGCTAACTTCTCATTCCTCCCAATAGTTGTCGTCCTTTGTCTGTAGGGACTAAGCTTCAAATATACCATATTTCCTACCTCAAACAGCATGTCCTTCCTTCATCCATCCATCCTCTTTTTCATGATTTGCTGAACCCTCAACAAATACCTTTTTAATTCAGCCTACATCATATCCCTCTCCTCTAAGTATTGTTCCACTGATGAGACTAGTGTGTTGCTTTGCCCAAAATACACCAAGTAAGGTGGGTCCCTCCTATACAACACTTTGAATGGAGTCATCCGTGAAGCCGAATTATATGAAGTGTTGTACTAGTACTTTGTCCATGCTAGACAGTTGGCCCACAACAGAGGTGTTTCTAAAATAAAACAACGTAGGTAAGTTTCTAAGATCCTGTTTACCACCTCCGTTAGCATGTCCGTCTGGGGGTGGTAAGTGGTGCTCCTTTTCAATACTGCCCCCTGCATCTTGAACAGTTCTCTCCAAAAATAACTGAGGCACACCTCATCTCAGTTGGACACTATTGGATCCAGTATCCCATACAATCTGACCACCTCTCCGATGAATGTCGTTGCCACTATCACTATTGTGTGCAGATGTCATAAAGGAATAAAATGAGCATAATTGCTCAATCTGTCCACCACTACCAAAATCACTATATACCCCTTAAACCTGGATTGCCCGTTAATAAAATACATGGTGACTTCCTCCTACACCATATATGGAAGAGCTAGATGTTGTAGTAAACCTCCTGAAGCCATAATAATGTATTTACTCCTCTGGCACACCTCACATTTAGCGACCTTCTCCTCCACATCCTTATGTATCCTCTTCCAATACAAATCTACAACCAACCACCTCTACGCCTTCTGCACTCTTGAATGGTCCTAGACCACGCTCCTATGGAACTCTTGTAGAAGGTGGGGAATATGAACCGAGGTTCGTGGCAACACAAATCTTCCTTGATACATCAGTCTCTCCCCTTCTAGGGAATAACCAGGGTGGGTACTCTCATCCCTCAGCAGATCTGTCCTAATCCCCTTCAACTCCTGATCTTGAACACTGTCCTCCTTAATAGCCTCCCAATCCAACATTAGTGGTTCTGAAATAGCCAACTTCTGGAACTCTCCCATGCATCTAGACAAAGCATCAGTTGCCTTGTTCTTTAGCATTGGTCTATGGCGGATCTCAAAATCATATCCTAAAAGCTTTGATAGCCACATCTAGTGCTCCTCGGGTTATCATCCTCTGCTCTAGCAGGTGCTTCAAGTTTCGTTGGTCTATCCTGAAGATGAAATGTTATCCTAATAAGTAAGGTTGCCCACTTTTGAATGGCCAACACAATGGCCACCAACTCCCTCTCATAGATTGACTTCAGTCTAGCTCTTGTAGTCAACACCTGGTTGAAGTAAGCTATGAGCTTCTGATTCTGCATGAGCGCAACCCCCAATCCATACCATGGTGCTTCTATTTCTATCACAAAAGGCTGGTTGAGATCTGGTAGGGCCAGGGACAAGTACCATTGTCATGACCTTCTTCAATCTCTCAAAGCCTTAGTAGCTGTCTCTCCCCACATAAAACTATCATTCTTTAGCCGCTTCATCAGTGGCCAGGCTATTGTGCTTTATCCTTTCACAAACTTCCTGTAGTACCAGTGAACCCTAGGAAACCGCTCAAGTTCTTCAGAGTCCTCTGTAACGATCATTTCAGCTTAGCCTCAATCTTGGCTTGATCAACTACCACCCTCTCCTAAGATATCACATGGCCCAAGTACTCCACACTAGGCTATGTAAAGCAACACTTCTTCAAGTTTGCTCTCAATTGGTTCTCTTGTAACACCTCTTATAACACATTCACTTGCTCTAAATACTCCTCATCTGGCCAGTTGTACACCAGGATGTCATCAAAGAAAACAAGTACAAATTTCTGGAGGTATGGTCTAAAGACTCGACTTATGAGGGATTGGAATGTAGTAGGTGCGTTCGTGAGTCCAAATTACATCACCAAGAACTCATAGCTTATGTGTCTTGAATGCCGTCTTCGGGACATCCTCCATTTTCATCCTGATCGGATGGTACCCGGTTTTCAGATCCATATTTTTTAACACCACTACTCCACTTTAATCATTTTGAAACTCATCTATCACCAGAATAGGAAATATATATTGCACAGTCTCCTTATTTAGGGTCCTACAATCTATACAGAATCTCTAGCTCCCATCATTCTTCTTGTGTAGTAGGACTGGGTTGAAAAAGGATCACGCTCGGCCTGATGATCCCAGCCTCCAACATCTCCTGAATTAGCTTCTCAATCTTATCCTTTGATTGGATCTTGGTGGTGGCAATCCTTGAGGTGGCTAAAAAATCTCATTGAACTGCTGTATAAGCGACTTTACTAAAGAAGAGATTTCTCCTCCATCCTCTGATCGGATCCCCTCCAAAGTTTGCAACTCCACCAGAAATCCCCTCCCCTGTTGGTTCGGACATGTTTGAATACATAGTCCTTAAACTCCCTCCAGGTTTGTATGGGCCTCCCCATATCCCTCCACTAGTAACATGCCAATGCCTTCCCCTCTAAGCGCAAAACAATTACCGTTCGTCTCTCCTCTGTCAACCCATTGATAGAAAAATATCTTTCCACCCTATAGATCCACCTATGTGCATCCTCTCCCTCAAACACAAGCATGTTCGACTTTCTCACTCTTGGATCTCATCTGTTTCCCTTGTTTCCCCTAAAACCTCCCATTCCCTAAAGGGCTGGACCGCCCTCTCCCCGAGCGTCCCGATCATCCCTTCTACGCTCATACCCAAACTTTTCATCAATATCCCCTCGATCTTCTCTTTTCAAAATCATCACTCCTCCGGTCATAATCAAACCCTCTTCTTTCAAATTCAACACCCCTTCACTCATATCCAACATCCTCACTCTTTTCCCCATACCCTCTGCTCGTCTCCTCCATAGGAGTAGGTTCTAGGGGTGGCATTCTATCTTCCCTTTCCAAAATCTTTACCTCCTAATCTTCCCCTCTCCTTATCGGATTAGGGTTTTCCCCACTCACTTGACCGTCTATGGCTCCCCTCACCTCCCATCTTCCTCATCATTTCCTCCATGATAGCAAACTTCCCATCAATCTTCTCATGGACGAATGAAATTTAATTTTTGAAATCTAAAATCTTTTCTACAAAATTAGATTTCAATTGTTCGATCTTCCCTTCCAACACTTCTAACTTTCTTTCCACCTAGGTACCTGGATTTATGCTATGATACCAATTTGATAGAAAGTGTTTGTAGAAATCAAATGAACCCTTGGCTTAGTTTTAATTTCAACAAGAAGAACTATGAGGAATAACAAGAGATAATCTTTTTAATTGATGATATATGGAAGAAAATGGACAAGACAATGGATCTTTAATTTGAGAGGAAGATCCCGCTCTCCCCAAACCCTAGTCGCCAGCTAGAGCCTACTCAATCTTAGGAATACTAATTTTAGGCAAATATCCTATAATCCAATCTTAGGTTTAACAAAACTACTTAAAGTATACAATATCCAACAAATACCCAAAAAAATCCCTCCCAATTTGAATTTCCCTCCTACTGGCCCCCTCCTCCCTTTGCATTAATCCACAGGCCCCACCCAGGGGGGGCGGAAGAGTGCTGAGGCGGGCCAGGCTTTCGCTTGGAATACACTGTGGCCTGTCAGGGTGGACTGACCCAGTCATGCCCGGTCTAGGAGGGATCAGTCTTTAAAAAATTACTTGGAACCAATAATCTCTCAGAAGAGCCTGTTATGAATTTTTGGGGCGCATAATTATTAACTTTCAAGCTGTTATCATCCTTGCTACATTTTTATTAATTTTTCCAATATACAATAACTTATTATGTTCCAGTACGTGTTGATTTTTCTGTATTCATTTAATTTCCTGAAAACAAGCTCTATTTATTGTTAGTTTGACCTTTGCGTCCACTACTTCATAGCCATTTAATTTAGAAGTCCTCAAACGGCTAGCAGATCTCGAATTGATTTGCAACTTAATCAATACTTCATATTTATTTTTGATGGCATATTGAAGAAGAACATGACACTTTAGTATTCATTTTATTTTAAGAAACCTTATGTCTGGAACATTGATGACTGATATCAGATCCGTCATACTATGAATGATTAGATAAATGGTGAATTGTATGCCATTTTTTCCTTCTAGTAGTTTGGTTAATTTTGTTTTTTTACCTCATCTCAAAAAACTTTATTGTTTTCTTCTTTATTTAATATTCGGCACTTCTCGTCACTTTTCTGCAATGCATGATAATTTTTTTCATGCAGGATACTGGTGTGCATGCTTTATCAAATGTTTTCCATGTGGATGTAGAACGCATAAGTAAAAGGAGGCCTAATGAAGTGGTCAGTTGCTGGTTGTTTATGAACTCGTGCCATTGTTACTTTTTTGTAATTGCACAACGATAATAGTTATTTGGTTCCCTTTAAGTTTAGTTTCATTGAATACAAGTATTCACATACTAAGTCTCTCCATTTCTATTTACAAAAAAGGGATACTAAATGTAAATGAATCAACCTTTAAGTAGAAATCTCTCTGCTCTGCTATAGGTAATTAATTATGCCAAAACGTTGTGTATTGTAGTCACCTTAAATTCATTCTAACTGTTTCCTGAATAAGGGTTATGGATTAATGATTAATTATTTCACAATTAACACTTTTTGCTATCATGATATGGATATAATTTGCCATGAATGCTTTTGCAGTCTGCGTGAGTATCTCCGTTGAGGAGTAACTTCAATTTGTAAGCTTATACTTGTTCTTTTATATTCTTTGTGAATATTTACACTTAACAGTAAATGCCTTTCTTACTTGGCTCTCTCTATTTTAGCTGATTTGGCTAGGAATGTATGCATCTATTGGACTGATTATGTATCTAAATTGTTACTTGCCTGGCTGAGTTTGGGGTTCGGAGTGGCAATTCAGCAGATGGCTCCATCAGGTCCAAGCCCAACGTATCCATTAGAATATCATGCTTGTATGCATGTTTATTTTTATGTTTGAATTAATATGCCAAATACAAGATTCCAAGTTTCAGGGTTTTTTTTTGGCGATAGAATACTACAAGACAAGCAAAAAATGTAGTATTGTTGAGCCAAGGGGTGGGATTTGACATTTTTCTGAAGAAATTTTGTTCCATTGAACCCGAGTCTACCCCACAACAACAACAACAACAACTTCAAACCTTTATCCCACTATGCGGGGTCGGCTACATGAATCCTTTTTCTCCATTGTGTCCTATTAAAAGTCAAATTCTCGTTTAAATTTAATAAAGAAAGGTCATTCCTAATATTTTCTAACCAAGTCTTTTTAGGTCTGTCTCTACCTTTCTTAATATAAGTCAAATCTAATACCTCTACTCTCCTAACCGGGTCATTGGAAGGCCGCCGTTTTATGTGACCAAACCATCTAAGGCGACTCTCTCTAATCTTATCTTCTACTGGAGCAACTCCAACATTTTCACGTATATTCTCATTTCGTATCCTATCTCTAAGGGTAAAGCCACTCATCCACCTGAGCATCCTCATCTCTGCCACACTTAACTTGGTATTATGCTTCTCTTTTAATGGCCAACATTCGACATCATAAAGCATTGCAGGCCTCACTACCATCTTATAGAATTTTCCCTTAAGTTTGAGGGGTACATTTCTATCACATAACAAGCCCGATGCATTCCTCCACTTCAACCATCCAACTTGAATTCTGCTGATAATATCCCCATCTATTTCACCATCACTCTGAACAATAGATCCAAGATATCTAAAACGTGTACTCTTATTAATGACTTGATCGCCCAAAGTCATAATCCCCTCACTAGGTCTATTACTACTAAAATTACACTCCATATATTCCGTTTTAGATCTACTCAAGCGATCATAATTCAAGTTTACCTTCAACTCCCTCTCTAGTCTTATCAACAAGAAGAATATCATCAGCAAAAAGCATACACCAAGGTACATCCTCTTGCAAATGTCTAGTGAGGACATCCATGACTAAAGCAAAAAGATGTGGGCTTAAGGCTGATCCTTGATGTAACCCAACCGAAATGTACCCCTCAAACTTAATTGATCGTATAGGTTTAATCTTTCTGCTTGTGGCTTGGCATGTTATTCTTTGATCAATTTTATGTCTTTGCCTGCCGGTTGTTCGTTCCTTTGTTGCAATAAATCTATTGATTTTCGTAGGGCCTCTTAGACCGCTTGTTAGAAGTATAGGCCTAGACATGGAATATTGATGACGAATCTTCTTTCAGAGAAGCTTAGTTTTAGAGTCTTCTAACTCCAGGAGCTGAATAATGAAGTAGATGGTTAATCCTTTAGGATTCCTACTTTTTTTATCAAAACTTTAATCATGCAACCAACATTTTATGTTGTTTTGAAGGTGCAGCTAATTCAGATTTTGGAAACCATTGGATTTTGTATTGTTGTACAGATGACAAGGTGACTGCTAGAAGAAGATTTAAGAGAGAACTATGAAAAGAAGTTACAGTTTATTAAGTTAGATTTTAGAGAGATAGAGAGTGGGTAGAGATGGGGTCTGCCAAATGACTTATTTCTTTTTTTTTTTGAAGATTGTTAGACATTAGCATAATATATTGGATTTGAAATTCTTACAATCCAGATGCAAAACATGGGCTACAAACATGGGAGGACAACCAACAATATAGTTTATGTAATATAAATGACAAATGGGTCCACATATGTGATAAGCACTAGTTTATTTATTTTATTTTATTTATATTTTATTTTAGGTAGATCAGTTCTATGTTGTATAAGCTTGGCCTACCCAAATATTATAAATATACCTTCTATTGTAATAAAAGAGTATTGAATGAATAATTTCTTGTTTTCCCTTCTTCACCTTCTTCTTCATTAAGGAGTCTACATCTTCTCAAAATGTGCCTTCCGCTTCTTGATGTAGATCAAGAAGCATAACAAATAATGCTCTTGTTGAGACCTAAACTCACATTCCCCTCTCCTCTTCCCGCCGATCAGCACCCTCACTTCCGCAACATTTTCATCAACTGAGCCTGTAAAACCTGAAAAATGTCATTTTAGACCTTGCACGCTTTTCGATGCATCACGACGATTTTTAAATGAAACTTTCAAAGTTGTCGGATTTTGAAGAAAATAATTTTATAAAATTCTACGCAAAATTATGAACATTTTGATATAAAGAGCTTATATGAAATTTTGCTTGGATTTGAAATTAAAATTCAAGAAAGATTCATAATACCTAAACTACCCCTAGCAAATACTAATGCGGATGTGTTTTAAGTGGGGGCAATTAAGGCATTTTGCATTAAACCTCTTTTCCTCTTAAGGGGACCGAATTCAATTCTGTCCCCATTTTGTTCGTTCGGCCGAAACAGAGAGAAGAAGCGGAGGTGGAAGGGTGGCGCACGGGCAAGGCTTGGACGACGGCTTTGGTGGAGGGTTTCGGCGGCCGGGCTTAGGGGATATCAAAGAGGGAGATTCAAGGAGGCTAATGTGAGTTTTTAAGCAAGACATTTATTTTTTTTCCCTAAGATTTTTAGATGAGAAGGATCTAGGGTTTCTCCAAAACTTGATGTTTTTCAAAAAAAGAATGTTAGGGAAGATTGAGGAAGAGTTCCTAACCATGAAAACATAATTTTTTTCCCAAAAATTTTTAGGGTTTCAAAACTTAGGGTTTTCCAAATGTTTGATTATTTTATGAAAGTTTTTTAACAAAGTTTATTCTTAAGGGTCTTAGGAAGGTTCTAATTAGGGGTGTCAAAACGAGTCGGCGGGTCGGGTTCGGGTCGAACTCGAGTTGACCCGGGTCTAAACGGGTCAACCCGAACCCGACCCATTTTTACAAACGGGTCCAAAATTTCAACCCGAACCCGACCCGTGCTGGTTACGGGTTGACCCGACCCAACTCGACCCGCAAAATTTGATGCTTGAGCTCTGCTTCGGGTCCGCTAATGGCGCTAAGTCCAGCATGGCGGTCGAGTCGGAGCGCCGGAGAGGCCTGCTTTTGTTCGAAGTGTCGAACGACTCGAACACTAGCGTGGTCGAGGCGGAACCGCGGTGCGGCCGGAGCATTTCGAGGCCAAGGTGGACGCTAGAGTGCCAGACTTAGCGTGGTCGAGGCGGCACAGGGAGGCGGAGCGGCGAAGCACTGGAGTTGCTTGAACCACGGTGACTGGGCGAAGCGACTGAGCGACATGAAGCCTGATGCGACGACATCGCGCGATGCGAGGCCTGACGCGAGTCACGCGACGGGACAGCTGGACAGGATGGTATGACGCGACAAGTCATTTTCCCAGGTCAAAACGGGTCGATTTCGAGTTTCCGGGTTAACACGAACCCGACCCGGTTTTGCAAACAGGTAAAAAACTTAAACCCAAACCCGACCTGTAATGTAAACGGTTGACCCGAACCCTGGATTTTTCGGGTCGGGCTCGGGTCGAGTTTCGGGTCAGGTTAGAATTTGACACCACCCCTAGTTCTAATGGTGAGATTTTGAGATTTTTCTCAAAATATCAATTTCCCTAATTTCTAAATAAGTTAAATCCGAAAATTGAAAGTTCTAATTATTTATTTAAATAATAGTGAAGATTTGGCATGCTAAAATAAGAGATGAATGAAATTCAGATTTCTAAAATTAGGGCTTTTAAGTAAATCTGAAAATAAAAAAAAGTATTTTATGAATTATAAAACTTTTAATGAGGTTTAAAGAGGGCTAAAATTATGATTTTCATAAAATTAGAGTTTTTATAAATTAAAATATAATTAAATCCGAAAATAAAAATTGAATTTTCATAGGAGGACTGATAGAAGTAAGATAGAAAAGTAAGGATTAAGGTCAATGTAACATGGATGATAATTAATGAAAGAATCCAAATGTTAAGGAGGTTTCATGTCTAATGTTAAGAAGGTTAATGGAAAGGAAGATTAACTTAGTAAGGATTGGAGTAAGACTTAGAGTAATTATTTGACAATCATAGTTACTTTGTCTTTCTTAGGATTTCAAGATGGGAGAGGAAGAGCCTTGAAGAAGGGGAAGCGATAAATTTCATACATCAAACATTCAAGTAAGTATACATGATTCTTTATTTACAGTAATGACTTTTGTTTCTCTCCAGTTATATGTTTTAAATATTCAAGCATGTTTATGAAATCCTTATGATTAATTTAGAACATGATTTTGTTACTCTTGTCAAATGGTTGATCATGCAAATTACATGTTACATTTTATGTCATTATATGATAAAGTTCATATGTTATAGAAATGAGATGTTATGATTGTTATTGAATGTTTGTATGTGCATGCTGAATTGATGGAGCTCCCCCCTTATGAAATTAGTTGGGGACGCTGTACTCGTGCACGTTAAAATGATAAAGGATATGAAAAAAGAAATGATAAAAGAGTACCTTTCTGGTACTAGACGGTGGCTCCTGTGACAGTTGTAATATATACGAAATCAGAAAGTTACGAATATTGAAATGAATATGAAAATGAATTATGAAATGATATGAATGTATGATTTATGTTTATGTTAATGATATGTTATTAGGAAATTAATTTATGTTATGTTTTAATTGAAATTGACATTTAGCTTATTGTTCATTTTGCTTTGATTACTGTAGTTTAGAATCGTGTTTTACTTACTGATCTTTGGCTTATTGTTAGTTGTTAACATTTTTAAGGTAAGTTTAAGTAAATCAAAATGAGTAGAAGAGGTGGAAACGTATATTGTAGGAGAGGCGCTCTTGAAGAAAGGTAACTCTATGAATATTACTAATTTTATGTTTATGTGATTTCAAATTTTATTGTTTTAGTGGCTCTTTCAAATATTTTGGAGATTGATTTAGAGAGTTGATAGTTTAGTCTACCGTCCGACCTCCGTTCCCGCCTCGCCTATGGGAGCTCACCGGGCCGGGTCGTGACAGAGCCCTTGCCACATTCTTCCAGCTGCAATCTTCATCACTCAAGCATTTCTTCCACAACATTACTTCAGTTGGCCACATTTTCCTGTTCAAGAACACCAAGAACATCATCACTCTTTACATACAGAAGCTTTTCAATCAGCCACCTGCTGCGCCGTTCTTTTAAAGCTCACTAGCCACCTATGCACCTATTTTTTTCCAGAACAAGATCTCTGTGTTGCGGCTGAACACCTGCCGTCTTTTGCCAGAATTAGCCTGTTCGGTTTTGCATTTACAACATCAGCCACGTTTTCAGCTTCTCAGTAACCCTGCAGTTTTATCTCAGCCACCATCAACATCCCCAAGAACACCCCACCAGGCGCTTGAACTGCCTTCAGATTTTCAGTTTTGCTCTCTTAGCCACAACTATATTCTCTCTGCAAGATTTCTTCAGCCAAACCATTCCAGCTGCTGAGTTACTTTATCCAACCGGCAGTCCACATCCAGTTTTCTGCTTCTTTCAAGATCAGCTGTTGAAGACTTGCTATTTGAAGACCAGCCATCCATTCCTGCTTCCAAGAATTGCCATCTGTTTTCCAACACAACAGTTTTGCAAATTCTCAAGTGACCAACTGCTGTCCTACCCGCTCCATCTTTCAAGATTACTTCATGTCCCAGTTCTTGTATCAAAAAACCTTATCTTTTTCGTAGGTTTTGAACACCAAAACCTTTAACAAACAGTAAATTCCAGTAGACCAAATAAATTTTTCTTGATAAGAAAACAAACACGAACAAACAAGATACAATGGTCCTCTTTCGGGAGGAGGACATTCTTTCCCAAACTCTAGATGCTGCTAGAATCCCTACAAAAAATAGTGGATAGCATGAACCTTCACAAAATCTGCTTGAAGGAAAATAATATCATCAAAAGGCCTAATATAACTCTCTCTATTTTCCTCCCAAAACCTGAATTTACTCCATATTTTTCTCGCACATTCTCCTTTGCTAAGTGATCCACTCCTTTAATTCTCCTCCTTTTCCAACACCCTCCTTTAATTCTCCTCCCTTTCCAACTCGGCAGCTGCCCCTCACACTTGGGCCCACATCCTTAACTGTCTGTTTATCAATATGCCTCCCCAAAAGTGTCACATTGTTTTCAAGGTGGAATGAAGGGAATTGCTGTTGAATAATCTAGTAGGACTCCCACATGACTTTGTACTTCAGTAGGTTCTTCCACCTGATCAACATTTTTTGCTTCCTGTTACTCCCTAGCGCACTCCTTCAACCTCCAATGGTTCTAGCAACACCTCTATGTCATCCATCAAGGTTTGGAGAAGTGCAAAAAATGAAATGTTCTCTACTATCACACATCGCAACTGGGACACATGAAGCACCGGATGGATGACTGACGATGGTGGTAAATGTAGGCGATATGCCACGACACCGATGCATTCCACAATTTTATAAGGACCAAAATAACGGGGTAATAAATTCTCGTTCCTTTTCCGTGCCAAGGTTCTCTATCTATAGGGTTGAAACTTCAGGTAAACACTACCCCCACCTCAAACTAATTGTCTCTCCAGTGTGCATTTGCTTGCCTCTTCATAATTTGTGAGCTTACAACAAATGCCCTTTCAGCTTTGCCAAGATTCTGTCTCTGTCATCTAATTATTGCTCTACTAATGTCACTATTGTGCTGCCTTGTACATAATATATCAAGTGAGGAGGATCTCTTTCATATAACACCTTGAACTGTGTTATTTGAGCTGTAGAATGATAGGAAGTGTTATATCAATACTCTGCCCATGTAACCATTTTGCCCATAACTTTGGTGTATTCGATACATAACATTGAAGATAAGTTTGAGGATGATAATAAGTGCTCCTTTTCAGAATGGTCCCCTACATCTTGAACAATTCCTTCAGAAAGATCTCTACAGCAAATGAAATGAACTTATTTACTCAATCGATCCACCACCATCAATATCGTAGTGTATCTTTCTGACATTGGCAGCCCTTCAATGAAATCCATGATCATCTCCTCCCTCCAAACCTTTTCTAGAAGAGCTAACGGTTGTAGGAGATCTCTTGGAGACATAGCTAAATACTTGTGCCTTTGACATATATCACAGCTAGCCACAATCTTCTTGACATCCTTCTGCATACCCTCCCAATACAGCTCTGCACAAAGTCGACGATATGCCTTTTTGACCCTCAAATGTCCCTCAACGGCCGTCCCATGAAACTCCTGAAGCAAGTACGAAATGTAAGAAAAGATCTTTGAAAGCACAAACCACTCACTATGAAGCAACTTTTGTCCCATCACTAAATATTCCAGATGATTGCCCTTATTTTCCACTAGCTCCACCCTAATTTTCCTCAACCCCGCATCCTGTTTGCTCTCTTTCCTCAATGCATCCCAGTCAAACATTTAGGGCATGAACAATGCCATCATCTAGGGCTCCCCCATGCATCTAGATAAACCATCTGCTGCTTTGTTTTCAACTTCAGGTTGATATTGAATCTCGAAGTCATAGTCCAATAACTTGGAAAGCCACCTTTAAAGCTCCTCGGTGACTATTCTCTTCTTTAGCAAATACTTCAAACTCCTCTGGTCAGTTTTAACGATGAAATATCTTCCCAATAAATAAGACCGCTATTTCTGAATGACCAACACAATTGTCATCAACTCTCTCTAATAAACTAACTTGGGTATTCCCTGGCCGTCAACACCTAACTTAAATAGACCAAAGGTCTCTGGTTTTGTATTAGTACCCGAGACATCTGTCTCAACTACAAAAGGTTGGCTAAATATGGAAAAGATAAAACTTGCGCACTGGTCATAGCCTTCTTGAACTCCTTAAATGCCTAGTTGGCTAACTCTCCTCAGTTGAGGTCCTTGAACTGTTTCGTCAACGACCCTACTATAGAACTGTATCCTTTCACAAATTTTCTATAGTAGCCTGTGAGTCCCAAGAATCTTTTCAACTCCTTCAAAGTCTTAGGTATGTGTTATTTGAGCATGGCCTGAATTTTACTCTTGTCAGCTACCACTTTCTCGTGAGATACTACATGCCCTAAATACTCCACTCTAGGCTAGGCGAAAGAACACTTATTCTGATTGATGAATAAAGCGTGCTCTCTTAAGGAATATATCACAACTTTCAAATGCTTCAAATGTTCTCCCTTAGACCTGCTATATACCAATATATTGTCAAAAAATACCAGCACAAACCTTTGCAAGTAGGGCTGAAATACCCTATTTATCAAAAACTAGAAAGTAGTCTGTGCGTTTGTGTGGCCAAAAGGCATCACCCAAAACTCATAGTATCCCTTATGCATTCTAAAAGCTGGCATGTGGGTGGCTCTTGATTGCATTCTGATTTGGTGGTACCTTGATTTCAAGTCGATCTTGGAGAATATCACTGACCCATGCAACTCATCTTACAACGCGTCAATGTCTAGTATGAGAAACTTGTATGGTACAATTTTCTTATTCGTGGCACGGTAGTCTACACAGAGCTTCCAACTTCCATCGTTCTTCATTACCAACAATATAGGACTAAAGAAAGGGCTCACACTGGACTTGATGATTTCAGCTTCAATCATCTCCCGAATCAGTCTCTTAATCGCTTCATTCTAGACCTGAGGGTAGCAGTATGGCCTATTACTAATGAGGGAGACTCGTTCCTTCAGAATAATAGTGTGCTCATGCTCTCGAGGGGATGGAAATCCCTAGGAAGCTGGAATACCTCCCTAAAATGCCAAAATAATGGTTGAATAATATCTGGAATGTCTTCTATGTCCTCTGTCCCACCTCCCTCCATACTATAGAGCTCCACCAAGAAGCTCTCTCCTCCCCTTATATGGCACGAACCATAGTTTTCAAAGAAACCATTGCTTTGGATAAGCTGGGATCTCTCTTAATTACCACCTTCCTCCCCCCTCCTGGATTTTTATAGCTAATGCCTACCAGTTTACCTTAGTCTCCACATAGGTTTGCAATCACTTCATTCTTAAAATTAAATCAGTACTTCCCAACTCCAATGGAAGAAAATTCTCCCTGATGTGAATCCCGTGCAGCTCTATCACCAAACATTGACAGATCCTTTTGCTCTTCTCCACCTTTCTTGTGCCCATCATCACTCCAAAATATCCCATATCCTCCTATTTCAACCCAAGTTTGTCAACAAATTAGTTTGATATAAAACTGTGTAGCCCCACTGTCCACCAAGATCGATACAAACATGGCGGGACAATCAACAACCTAATTTTGGCAACATAAATGAAAAATGAGTCCACATATGTAATAAACATTAGTTTAATTTTTTTATTCTATTTTTTAGTTTGTTTTAGGTAGACTGGTTCTATATTTGTAAACTCATTCTATTCCAGTATTATAGGTACATCTCCTATTGTAAGAAAAGAGAGTGGAATGAATAATTTCTGGTTTCTCCCTTTATGGTCTCTCTTCTTCCCCTTCTTCCTTAAGGGGTCCACACATACTCAAAAGGTGTCTTCCCCTTATTGATGTAGGTTAAGAAGCATAACAAAGATCTAGTGGCCGACCACTTTTGTAGAGAGAGGGAGAGAAGGTGGAGGAATAATTGGAATTGTATTCAGTCATCATGAAAAATATATTAGATAAGGATTTAATTTATAGACTTAAAAGAGGAAAATCTAAAACATCCAACTTTAAGTTTAAATCTAAGACTAATTCATACAAGATTTGTGGCAGCAGCTTATTTCATTCATGAAAATATATGGTACTCCATGTAACAGGCTACTCTTCTTTAATTTTTGTCAAGCTATCCTCCCTTGCTAACCACCTTAGTTACAAGGTTTTCATATATTCATTTGCTAAACCTAATTCGGGTCAGGATACCTCTTTTTGGTGCACCTTCTTTTGCCCATCCATGGATGTATTGATTTGCTTAAAAGGATCTGATACAGTGAATCAAAAGGACATGATACACCAAAGAAGACTCCATTGGTTTTAAAAAAATAGATGAACTTACGGTAAATAGCACTATTTCTTTGATTACAACAGTTTGGTATGTGATAAAGAATACAGTTATATAATTTGTTTAGGAATATTAATGTTAACTCAAACACGCAGACCATTGTGCGGTGAGAGAGGGTTTTATGGAGTAAGAGGACTCATAACATGATAGAATGCGAGGAAGATATATTTGCACAAAGTTATCTTCCGGTGGAAAATTCCATGTTCTTTATGTCTTCAACCTGTCCTAACAGCATTAAAGGGGCGGCAGTTAATAATAAAAAGTGGATCAAATTGGATGACGTATCTGATAATGTCCCATTTTTTGTTATTTGGACACCCTAGATTGCTAGCCTATATGTACATACCCTCTCAATCAATACAGTTTTACATGTTTTCTGGTTGTGTTATCATAATACTTGATTACTTCAATTTTGATTCATTCATAATCCGTTCCCTCTGTTATCATGTTTTTCTTCTGAGCTAGCTTGATATATTATTTGCACTGTCAATAATGATGGCTTTAATATTTTTCCTGCTTGTGCAGTTACCACCACATGAACCTGGAGTTGTCAGACGGGCTGTAAACCATTTCTTACAGGTGCTTTTTTATTTTCTTAATGACCTTTAGGTAAAAACAAAAAACAGAAAGAAATCTTGTATCAAATGTGTTCAGCATAAATGCTGTTAGTCAATCGATTTTACTTGGATTTTATTGACTTTGTAAAACTAGTTAAAATGCATGTGCACTATGTGCATATTTGCTTGAAATACGTATATGATTTTTAATACATATGTTAGTTGCATTTTTTTTATTAAATAGATAATTTTATTAATGCATTTTATGAATTTTACATTATATCTTCTGAATTATAACTTGATATGAAAAAAATATTTTAGTACTTATTAATTGGGTAAAAGTAAATATTACTAAATTTTGTAGAGTAAATGGCCAAAATGATTCTTAAACTTTTTAAGTTTATCCATTTTTGTTCCAATTTTTTTCAGGTGTTCAATTTAGCCTAAGTCCCAAGTCCTGAATGAGAAAGTGAAGAGTTGTGTTAGGTAGTTGACAACCAGCGTAAAATTTGTCGAATAATTATTTCATGAATATTTTTAAAAATTGTGTTAATGCTAGGGCGTCTCCTAGAAGCGACATGCTGTATGCATTGAATACAGCGACAAGTTTGCAAGGGCCATTGCACCAGCGCTCGGGTGCAGTGTTAAATAGGCAAGGGTTCCCACATTAAGGACGTATGTGGGCAAAGAAGCTAGTCCATGAAACTAAAATTAGGATAGGAACTTGGAATATAGATTCCTTTACAAAAAAATTAATAAAATTAATAGATATTATGATTCATAGGAAGATAAATATTTTGAGCATTCAAGAAATTAAATGGGTTGGAGAGAAGGCTAAGGAGATTGATAGTTTAGGATTTCAACTATGGTATTCGGGTAGGAGCGTACTAGAAATGGTGTAGGTGTGATTGTAGATAAGAGTTTGAAGGATAATATTATAAAAATTAATAGAATTTGAGATAAAATTATAGCTTTAAAAATTGTTGTTGATGCTAAGATTTTTAATATTATAATTGTTTATGCTCCTCAAGTAGGTTTATATATAAGTTAGAAATTAAAATTTTGGAATGACTTAGAATAATTAATACAAAAGATATCTCTTGAAGAAAGAGTTTTTTTAGAGGAGATTTAAATTGACATGTTTGTAAAGAGGTAGATGATTTAAAAGCATTCATGATGGCCATGAGTTTGGAACGGACCAATGAAGGTGGTAAGACCATATTAAATTTTCCTTTAGCTTATGATTTTTTAATTGCTAATATCTTATGTAAGAAAAGAGATGAACATCTCATCACTTATAAAAATAGATACAGTAAAACTCAGATTGATTATTTTATTATATAAAAATAAATCGTTTAGATTGCAAATATTATAAAGTTATTCCGCGTGAAAATTTATGTATCCAACATCGATTATTAGTTTTAGACTTTAAGATAAAAGGAAAGAAATAAAAAATAAAGTAAATCGATATTCTAGGATTAGATGGGAGCATTTAATGAATATTAAGAAAAATATTTATGAGAGAAATATTTTAGATCTTAAGATTTTGTCTGTGCATGAGAATGCTAATGTTATGTGAGAAAAAGTGGCAAGTAATATTAAGAATATTACAAAAGATATGCTTGGAGTATCAAAGTGAAAAACTCCAAATAGTAAAAATAGTTGGTGGTGGAATCCAAATGTGAAGAAAAAATAAAAAATAAGAAGATTTGTTATAAAAATTGATTTAGATATAAAAATTCTTATAATTGGTAAATATATAAAGAGCGTAAGCAATCTAAGAAAGTAATATGCGATGCAAAGATCATAGCTTTTAATGATTTATATAATAAATTAGATAGTTAACCATTAAGAGAGAAGTATAATACTAAGTTAAGTGTTGCAAAAATGAGGATGCTCAGGTGGATGAGTGGCTTTACCCTTAGGGATAGGATACGAAATGACCATATACGTGAAAACGTTGAAGTAGCGCCAGTGGAAGATAAGATTAGAGAGAGTCGCCTTAGATGGTTTGTTCACATAAAACGGAGATTTAAATAAGAATTTGACTTTTAATAGGACACAATGGAGAAAAAAGATTCATGTAGCCGGTCCCAATTCCCACATAGTGGGACAAAGGCTTGTTGTTGTTGTTGTTGTTGAATTTAGCCCAACTCACCAAATTTGAGCCAATTTGGTCATATCGTTCACTTAGTTGTTTCTGCGAATAGAAATTGGTGGAGAGAAACTTTTCATGATGGTATTTTGGACTTGTAGGGTTCATTTTCCTTAAAATCAACTCAAACAAATGGTATTGACGCCAAAAGTCCAAAAGGTCCTCATAAATTATTTTCTTCACCAAGTTTTATCTAAACAAATGTTTAAATTTAAGGTAGGATTTAATATATTCAAATTTGATTAATTGAGATATTAATTTGAACACTTCAAAAAAATCTGGGACCAAATAGACACGCCTAAAACATGTAGTGTCTAATTTGGTCATTTAATCAATATAATATGTATTCAAATTTGATGAGTTGAGATATATTTTATCTTTCAAAGTAAACTTTTAAATAATAAACTTATTTGAAAATTCCTGCAGATTTATCCTCTCATCTACTGTAGCATATGATTTTAAATGGTATGATAGTGATGTGAATCAACTAGGAGTTTCTTGAGAAATTAAAAGGAACAATTGATTAAAATTTGCTAATATAAAATTATTGTTTGCAAATAAAGAAGATTTAGGAATTCAAAATATTCAACTTGCTTAGGCAAAGAAGCGCTCTTGAGATTAACCAAACAATCCAATCAAAATCCAAAGACAATAGTAAATGTTACATGCACATAACATAAACATAATTTACCACTTAATAACGAGAGGTTCACCTTGAGTCCCTTCTCACTCATTCACTCTTAGGCTTTAGCGGAGGAAGACGAATCATACGATGAAGGAGATTACAACTAGGAGGAGGGCCGAAGACTTTCGTTGATGGAGAGGTAGCCGGCGGTGGAGGAGGTGGTGGGTGACCGATGATTATCCTAGGGTGGGGTTGGGAGAGAAAGTTTTAATAAATCTGAAATTAATTCAGATTTAAGTGGATTTGGAGGGAGTTGGATTTGAAAATTTGAATTCAAATTCAATCAAGGCTTATGATCCAAATAGACAATTAATAGGTAAAGCCCATTAATGGGCTGGCGGCATTATGAGGGGAGGGAGAGAATTGGGGAGGGAGTTATTAGCTTCCAAACAAGTATTTATAAGTTAGGAAAGCAAATAATGAATCCAATCTAATTTAAATTCAAATTGGATTCATGATTAAGGAATTTCCTTATTTGGAATTTCAAATATGGAAAGTATTTGAAATTCAAAATTTGAATTTCAAATGAATTCAAGCCTTTCCTTTACTTGCTTGAACTAATTTAGGAAAACCATCATGATGATTGAGAACATCATAATGTGGCTTAATGGGGCCGGCGGTGGAGTTGGGTGGAGGGATTTTAGCTGGCGGTGGTGAGGGTTTGGTCGGCGATGGTGGTTATGGGTAATGGCTTGGAGTCAAGGGATTTGAGGATTGCGTTAAGGCCTAAAATAAAAATAAAGAAAATACTCAAATGCCCCTTGGGCTCAAATAAACTCAAGAAAAGGGGTAAAATCGAAACTAGCAAATAAATATAACATAATACATAAATGCATAAAAAATAAAGACTGTGAATTGTAGCCGTAGTTTTATGATTCCTACACCGATAAACTTGTCGATAACATATGTTGATGTCCTCATCATTCTCCTTAGGTGGGAGAAAACTCGACCCTGTCGAGTGAGTGTCCCTAGAGCTCTCGTACAACTCTAGGAGATCTGGATCTAGACTCTGTAGCTCATCTCGATCAACCCACGTGTCCTCTATCGCTGGGGTCCCTTTCTAGTGAACTAAGTATCTTCGACGTCCCCCTTTCGTGGAAATGATCTCATCATCCAATATGACTTCTATCTTCTCCGGATTGGATAAGTGAGGAAAATTGGGGAATGGAGGTAGGCTAGGGATCTCACCAGGTATGGTCACAAAAGGCCCATTAGCAAGTGGATTATTGGGGTTAAACTCTGGCCCCTCGAAGGTTACTAGATCTTCTATATTAAATTTAGGATTAATGTTAAAATCTTTAAAATTATCTTAAAAGGTCCAGCGCTTCTTGCATGCAACTTCCTTGCGGATCCTGGAGGAAAACGCTCCGGATGTATTCGCACTATCACAAAGTCTCCAACTTTGAACTCTTTAAATCTTCTTTTATGATCAGCAATAAGTTTATAAGTGGCGTTGCTTTGTTCAATTTTCTTTTTAATTTCTTTATGTAACTCCTGAAGATGAGATGCGAATGCAGATGCAGACTCTGACGTTCTAACCCTAAGACACATGGGAAGTAGATCAATGGATTGTTTGGGTAGGTATCCATACACAATCTCAGCAAGACTAAGGTCGGTGGTTCTATTAACAGAGTTGTTATACGAAAATTTAGTGATAGGCAGCTTAGAATCCCAATCTCTAATATGTCGTCTACCAAAGACCTTAAAAGGTTTCCTAGGCTTCTATTAACTACCTCGGTTTGCCCATCAGTCTCGGGGTGGAAGGATGTTGAAAATTATAGTTTCATACCCATTTTGTGCCACAGGGTTTTTCAGAAATAGCTTATAAGTTTAACATCTCTGTCGAAGACTATGATTTTTGGTAAGCCATAAAGTCTAACGATCTCGTCAAAATAGAGCTTGACAATTTGAGAGGCGTCAAAAGTTTTAGAACAAGGAAGGAAGTGAGCCATTTTCAAAAAATGGTCGACAACTACACAAATAGAATCATGTTTTCTCACATTCTTCGGTAAACCAATAATGAAATCCATACTCACATTCTGCCAAGGGCAATTAGGCACGGGGAGTGGAGTGTAGAGCCCTGTTTTCTGTTTGCGTTGTTTGGTGAGTTGAAAGGTGTGAAATCTCCTCAAAAGTTTACTAACATCACGCTTTAGACTCGGCCAATAGAATCGGTTCTCTA